TTTGTGTTCTTATTTGGAGAAATGTCTATTCAAATCCTTTGCCCATTTGTTAACTTAGCTTGCCTTTTTATTGAGTTGTATGAATTTTTTTTTAAAGATTGTATTTATTTATTTGACAGAGACACAGCGAGAGAGGGAACACAAGCAGGGGGAGTGGGAGAGGGAGTAGGCTTTCCGCTGAGCAGGGAGCCCGATGCGGGGCTCGATCCCAGGACCCTGGGACCATGACCTGAGCTGAAGGCAGACGCTTAATGACTGAGCCACCCAGGTGCCCCAGAGTTGTACGAATTTTTTTAATATATTCTGGAGACAAGTCTCTTGTCAGATATATGACTTGGAAATATTTTCTCCCATTCCGTGTTTTGTCTTTTTACTTCCTTGATGGTGTCCTTTGGTACACAAAAGTTTTTAACTTCTATGAAGTTATTTATATGAAGAATTTATCTTTTCTTTGGTTGCTTATATTTTTGATGTCATAGCCAAAAAAAACATTGCTTAATTCAAGGTCATGAAGAAGATTCGCTCCTATGTTTTCAAAGGGATTTATAGTTTTACATTTAGGTCTTTGATCCATTTTGAGTTATTTTTTATATGTGGCATGAGGTAGGATTCCAACTTTATGTTTTTGCATATGGATATCTAGTTGTCCCAGCACCATTTGTTGAGAAGGCTATTCTGTCCCCATTGGATTGTCTTAGCACCCTAGTTGAAAATCAATTGACCAAAAATATAAGGGGTAAGAGACACGTTTTGAATGGAAATTTGTTGGAATGAGAAATTTGGATGGGTATGGAAGAGTGGGGAGAGCCAAACTGAGGCTGGAAGGTGTTTTATTTTACTTTCTGTGTTTTATTTTAAATTCCAGAAGTAATACATTGTCACTGTAAAATACTCAATGCAGAAGTATGTAGAGTAAAAAGTAAATGTTCCTCTTTAGACTCTTTCCAAGCTTAGTCCCTTTGCTGTTTGGAACCACTGCTAACATATCAGACAGAGGATGTGTTTAAGGGAGGGAACAAAAAAGTTAGTTGAGTGTAGCTAGATTGGGAGGAGGCTAAAATTCTAGATGAAGGATTTTGAACATGATTTAAAAGAGAGTTAGAATTAAACTCTATCTCTGAAACTCATAGCATACTATATTGAATTTAAATAAAATAAATTTTAAGGGGCGCCTGGGTGGCTCAGTTGGTTAAGCGACTGCCTTCGGCTCGGGTCATGATCCCAGGGTCCTGGGATCGAGCCCCGCATCGGGCTCCCTGCTTGGCGGGAAACCTGCTTCTCCCTCTCCCACTCCCCCTGCTTGTGTTCCCTCTCTCACTGTCTCTCTCTCTCTGTTAAGTAAATAAATAAAATCTTTAAATAAAATAAAATTTAAAAAAGAGAAAGGCAGTATAGGCCTTTTAAAAATGTAGATTCTTTTTTTTTTTATAAACATTTTTTTTTTTAAGATTTTATTTATTTG